CTCCTGTCTGTCCTCGGCTGCCTTCCACGCAACGTTGTGCCAAACTTTCTGAGCCTGAGCTCGAAACACGTGTCTATAATCTTCCTCTTCCATCTACATACCTTCTTGCACACAAGGAGGAAACAAGTCCAGGCTACATTCTCTTCCACCATGAACAGGGTGAAGGGCAGAGCAGTCTTCCTGGAGACTAGCAATGCAGTCAGTGATTAAATCCCATACACGAAACAGGAATAGCACCAAAAACAAAACAAAAACCCTCCCTGATAGATTGAACTGTAATTTTCCTCACATTTTGTTTTTTTCTTTGCTGTTGTTTAACATGATAAAGCAATACCAGGAGGATGGGAGCAAAACATTCACAACAATTGCCCTTTGAGTCGAGTTGAACGATCCGGGTTCTGGTCCCGGGTCCAGCAGACTCCAGCTCACTGTCACATGCCTCACCAGAAAAACAAGGTGTTTGGGGCCATGCCTGCAGTCTCAGTGGTGTTTAGTAGATGGCAGAGCACTTCTGCAAACATCTGGTGTTAACCTTAACGTTCTGGGGCTAATGTAAGACATAAATCATCCACCTAGAAGCTTACGGTAAACTCTGTTTTTGTTCATACGAATATTTTCTTTGTCTTCCAGAACTAACATTATAATCTCCTTTTTAAATGTTCATCAGTTTCACAAGTAATAAATCAAGCTATGAGCCAGACAGCAGTGGCACACACCTTTAATCCCAGCACTCAGGAGGCAGAGGCACATAAATCTCTGTGAGTTCGAGGCCAGCCTGGGCTACAGAGCCAGTTCCAGGCCAGCCAGGGCTATACAGACAAACTCTATGTCTTGAAAAAAGATAAAACAACAACAACAAATCAATATATGGAGTCCTTCTCCCCCTCCTCTCCTGCTCAAGAGCCTTTGGAATCTTTGGATCTGTGAATTGTTATCTTTAAGAAGCTCTGAAAAGTTCTCATCTATTCTATCTTCAATATTGCGTCTTTGGACGCACAGTCAACTGTCTCATCTACCTTCCAAATTTCCTACCCTCTTTTTCACATTTCCCATCTGTTTGTGTCTCTGGACATATCTGAACCAACACTTTTACATCTTTCCTGGGTAATGGACTTGCTTCACCTGTGTCGAATCTGCTGCTTCGCTGACGCGGTGTTAGTTTTAGTGCTATGTTTTTATTCAAGGTTCCAAATTCCTATTTTCTATTTCTTTGAGAATACTTGAGCAACAGATTAAAACCAGTTATTTTTACATTACTTTCCAGATTGTTCCAACGAATGAAGTCTTTGCTCTCAGCTCCTTTTCTCCGCGGGTTCTCACCCTCATAAGAACTCTTACTCACTTTGTGGATGTGGACTGTAAACTATCCATTTGCTCTGAAACACCCATGGAATAGCTGCTTTTTAGTCTGGCTAATGTCTTTAAACTCTGTGTTTGCTGTTCCCATTTGTTTTAGGACACTGTTTTACTAAAACTGCTTTACATTTAATTCTCTAGGTCAGTAGTTAGGAAGCGCAGGGTCAGTATGAAGACCGAATATACACTCGTGTGGGGCCTGACTTGTTAGGAGAAGACAAATTCTCAAAGGGATGTGGTTGAGACAGGCTTCCTAGCTGTTCTCTTAGTGTTCTGCCTTTATCTATTTCAATTCTTCCTCTGCTCCGAGTGCAGCCTCTTGAGAGGCCTTGTTCTAGGCACCAACTTCCCGTGAGAAGTGCCGGCTTAGGCATGTCCTGGGCCTTTGCTCCCAACCTTGGCCCTTTGTGTAACTTTCTAGCTTTTCTCTGGGACATGAAGGACAGTTTTAGAAAAGAACTGAGCTTGCCTGCTTGCCATTGATCTGGACACCACAGCCCAGACCAGCCTCAAATTCTAGGTCCTCTGGCTCCATCTCCCAGAGTTCTGGGATTACTATTGTGCACCACCACATGCAGCCTTTGATTTTCTTTCTTTTTTATGTTTTTGTGAGTTTTTGTTGTTTTTTTTTGTTTGTTTGTTTGTTTTCCAGACAGGGTTTCTCTGTGTAGCTTTGAGCCTTTCCTAGAACTCGCTTTGTAGACCAGGCTGGCCTCAAACTCAGAGATCCACCTGCCTCTGCCTCCTGAGTGCTGGGATTAAAGGTGTGCACCACCACTGCCCAGCTTGATTTTCTTTTTTTTAAAGACTTGTTTGTTTTTATGTGTATGAATGTTTTGTTTGCATGTATGTATATGTACTACATACACGTCTGGTGCCCCTGGAGACCAGAGGAGTGTTGGGTCCCCAGGAACTAGAGTTACTGAAGGTTGTGTGCCAATGTGTGGGAACTGGGAACTGACCCAGATCCTCTCCAAAGGCAGTATGTGCTCTTAACCACCGAGCCATCTCTCCAGGCCTATTCTTTTTAATCTTTTAGTTTCAGCATTCTTGTCAGGAAGGTTTCCATGGTAACTATTCACCATTGTGCTGGAAATAATTTTGTGCCTAATTGCATTTATATTGACCAAACACAAATTCAAACTTAGAAACCAAGCTTTTATTAATAAATCAATGATTTTGCTTCTTTGTTTATCTACTAGAGTTTTACAAAATGTTACTTTTTTCAGAAAAGGAGTCTCTGTCTTGAAATGTTTTGAGAGTTCCCTCTTCTAACTATAGCATATAGATTTCTCTTTACTATACTGTTAAATCTGTTCTCTATGGAGACCAGATCCCATGATTCTCTGAATCTTGAGTGTGACCTTCACTCATGGGGTCAAATAATACAGATGACATTGATCTAATGTCACATCTCCAGCTTCTAGTTTTTGTTTTCTTAGCAGCAAAACCCTTTGCTGCCTAGAAAAGCATAAGCTCAGAATGGAAGAGGAAGTCTGCTGGGACATGAGGGTGGTGAGGGAGATCTGGAATGCAGCAGGATTGAGTCACTCCACCCATTTCCTTAAAGTGTTTGCTTGGGCTTTTAGCCTTTGTACCTTGGGTCAATTACTTACATATCTGTGCTTCATTTTCTTCATCTGTATAAGACAGAGTATAGTACCACTCTGTTGAGACTGCTCTGATGACCAAGTTAACTATGTAAAACACTTAGCAAAGTACTTGTCACACAATATTTGTTCAAGTGTTAATTATATATATTATATATTTAACCACGTAAAACACACTTGTCACACGGTACTTATTCAAGTGTTAATTATATTTATATTGTGTAGATTTAAAAATGTGTTCCTGGTTGGGTATTGAAAAAGAGAAAATGAATGAAACAAACAAACAAAGCTATATTCATTGGATATTTCATATTTATTTTGAATTTTTATAAGTCATTTATGTATTTATTTGTTGTTTCATTTAAAACCTATTCTAAATGTAGAAGAAAAACTGGCTCTACCCTTGAGAGTTAAACTAAAGCCAAAGGTCTATTTGTCGCACATACTTTTCGTGCCATTACACACAGCTTTCTTCTGGCACCGCCAGCTTTCTGAAGACATAAAAACAAAATGAAGCAAACACCACTTCAGACTTGCCTGCCTCATCCTGTGTGCAGGAGCTCATAGTGGATGGAAGAGGACCAGGACAGCATCCTTAGGATGAGCAAGGGGCAGGTGCAGGTATGAAAGGGGATTCTGGGAGACCGGAAGCAATGCACATGTTGTGAAATGCACTCATCTCACTTTGAAGATGGGAAATCTAATAGAGACACTGAAAGACCCAAGAAGGGGAAGCAGCACATTGCAGGAGAGAGAGAGAGATTCAAAATCACTACAGAATTAACGCACCCACCACATAGGGAACATCCAAAATATATAAAGTATCAGGTGGGGTATTGGTGAAATTATTAAGGCCACTTCACGTAGTTAAAAGGGGGGTTTATTTAGTGGCGTAACTTACAAATGAAGGGATAGGTAGGTTGCAGGGTCTGGGGAAGATGGTGTTCTCTGGAGAACTCTGCTCTGTCTACCTCCAGTGTCCAGGGTCCAGGAACCAAGCAAGGTGGTGCATCCGGATCTTGGGTCTTCAGGGTCCTCTCTTGGCCCCGCCTTGTAGGTGTGACAGTTACTGAAGCCTCAGTGGGGGTTGGAACTTCCAGATCAAAGCTGGAATGGCTGCCCACTACAGTGGGGTTTGAGAGGAAGGTGAGAAACAAAGGGACATTCTGAACTGAATACTTTGAATGGTCTATCTAAGATCGCAGAGCATGGGCAAGCCAGTCAGCAGGTCAGCTACTTTAAATACTTTAGGAAGAATTGCTACCCAAGAACAGTCTGAGTTCCATTAGGCTAAGATATGTAAATCATTACTCCATAGGTCAAAAATAGCGGAAATGCCAGTTTGTACATCTCTACCCAGAGTTCCATCTGCCCTGCTCTGTAGACCTTTGGAGTTTGAGTGGTGTCCTATATATCTTCAGGGGTGATACCTGCCTTAAGTAGTTCATGCTGATTTTGCACGCACTGATCCAAACTACAGAATTTGTACTAAGTACTTGCAATGGATAGTTCACTGGAAAATGATGATGACGCCAGCACAGCCCTGGCTCCCAATGAATTAGCAGTCCAAGGAAAGGAGCAGAGAAACAGATCTGGAAGTGATAAGCAAGTAAGAGATAAAGCAATAAAGTTGTCTTAGTTGTGGGCTGTTAGGGAGATAAACACTTGAATTATGTTTCAAGGGTCAAATTGAAATGTCGTCAGGTGTCACTGGCAAGAACAGGTGGGCAAAGGTGTGCAGGTGTGAGAGCAGGTAGGCACCAAAGAAGACAATTCTGTCCTCTGAGAAGTAGAGGGTATGGAAGAAAGTGATACAGACTGATGGAGCACGTCCTGGCAGGTATGAAAATCAGTGGAGAACACTATATCCAGAGAAGAAGCAGAAAAACACAGCAGAGAGATGGGGCTGGAGAGACGGCTTTGTGGTTACAAGCACTTGTTGCTCTTCCAGAAGACCCAAGTTCAGTTTCCAGGATCTATGTAAGGCTGCTCACAACTGCCTGTAACTCCAGCTCTAGGAGAACTGATGCCCTCTTCTGGCTTCCTTGGGTACCGGCACACAGATGGTCTGTGTGTGTGTGTGTGTGTGTGATGGTGTGTGTGTGTGTGTGTGTGTGTGTGTGTGTGTGTGTGTGTGTACACAAATAAAGATAATTTTAAAAAATACTGAGTGCCTCTCACTTTAAAGGCTTTAAAGAAATCTTCCCAGTAGTAACACCATCCCTGTCTTCTCTGAGTGACCTGTCTTGACTCACTGATTTGTCAGGTTTCTCCACGGAACATTTCCTTTCCTTTGGAGAGGGAAATTTCAGAGCAGTGGGAGGAAGGAAGGAGAAAGCAATCCATTTCAATGAGGAGGCTGCTTTCACTTCAGCCTCCCCTTCCTATACATCCTGTATTCTGACTTCCACTAGAAAGAAGTGAAATCACTATACCCAGGAGAGCAGAGGGTTCGTGTGAGAGGCCACTCTGCATCATTACTGTCCTGAGATGGTGTCATACTTAGTTAGGAAACAGCTGTGATCTCAGTTTCTTTTCCTTTCTAACAGCTAGGACCATGTGGTGGTTTCAATTTGACACAACCTAGAACCATTCTAGAAAAGAGCCTAAATAAGAGATTGTGTGCAGTGGACCAGCCTGGATGGATGTCTGTGGGGGATTGTCGTAGTTGGGTTAATGGATGTGAAATTGTCCGCTGTGGGTGGGACAATTCCCTAGCAAGGGATCCTGAACAGTACAGGAATGGAGAAACTGAGCTGAGTACAAGCAAGCAAACATATAAGCACTCATTTTTCTTCTCTTGGCTGTGGATGTGATATGAATAGCTGTTGGAAGTTCTTGCCTTGACTGCCCCCACAACGATGGATTATATAACCTGGGATTGTGAGTAAAAACCATCATTTCCCCAAGTCGCTTATTGTGGGACTATTTTATCACAGCAACACAGACAAGACTAGGGCGGCCGTTTGGGGGACACTGTCTTTTCCTATGGAGTAGCAACAGGTCTTTGAGATCCCACCACAGACTCATGCATGGTCTCCCCATGACAGAGCACAAAGCATGGCAAAGTGGTAAACTGGAACGTGAGGCCCTGGACTTCAGCATCACCCCATTTCTGTCAATGCTCTCCATATCCTCCAGAAGAGACCTTGATATCAGATCTGGTTTCTGATCTACATTATCAATGTAGCCTTTGCCAGACGCCTCACCTATAAAAGAGAGATAATCATATCTAAATAACTAGTGGAAAAGCCTCCAGCTCTCATATGCTGGCCTAACACTGGCTGCTGTTACCATCACTCTCCTCACTCAAGAATCTGACCCATGGGCTAGAGATGGCTCAGCAGGTAAGAGTGCATACTGTTCTCGAAGAGCACCTGGGCTTGGCTCCCAGCACCCATATCTGGCAGCAGCTCACAACCACCTGTAAATCTGGTTCCAGGGGATCTGACACCCTCTTCTAGCTTCTGTGGACACAGACACAGGTACAGAGAGAGAGAGAAAGAGAGAGAGAGAGAGAGAGAGAGAGAGAGAGAGAGAGAGAGAGAGAATAAATTCACACAGGCACATACACATTAATAAAAAAAAAAAAACTAAGTAATTTTTAACTCTTACCCTTCAGATATTTCTAGTGTGGCACCATTGTTTTTTGTTTGTTTGTTTTAAAGGAAAGGCCAGGACGCAAAGCTCAGTTGGTAGAGTGCTTGCTTAGCATGCATAGAGTCCTGGGTTTAAACCCCAGCATCCTGTAACTGGACATGGTGGCAGACTGCACTTCCGGCACCTGAGAGATAGAGTCAGGAGGATTGGAAGTCCAAGGCTGGGTCACTAAGATGGTACAATGGGGAAGGGTGCTTGCTGCTAAGCCTGGTCACCTGAGTTCGATACTTGAGGTCCACATAGTGAAGGGAGAACAGTGGCTCCCACAAGTTGTCCTCTGACTATGCCATGGCATATGAATACATTAATAAATGTAATTTTATAAAGTCCCCCTACACAGTAACTTTGATACCAGTCTTGGATACCTGAATCTTTGTCTAGAAGAGGAGGAAGGGAGAAAGGAAGAAAGGAAGGGAGGGAGGGAGAGAGGAAGGGACGAAAGGAAGAAAGGAAAGGAGAGAGGGAGAGAGGGAGGGAGGGAGGAAGGAAAGAAGGGAGGAAGGAAAAGAAATGAAAAGAAAAAGAAAATGACATCCATATTACTTAATTTTTTTCTTTGACTCCTTCTATATTTTAAATTGAGGCCAAGCTACTTCCTTTGGTGCCTTGAGCTCTACCAAACCTGCCTCCTTCCCTCTCCCATCTCTAAGTCCATCAAACATGGCAGCCACTGTGTTTCGGCCAGGCTCCCTGTCCTTAAAGCAGATTGTGCCTGTCTTGAATCGAGTGCCTAGTCCTGGAGTGCTCTTTGCCTGGAAGGCACTTCTGCCCCTCCCTTCCACAAGCTCTTTGCACCTTTCGGATGGACTTTAGACGCCGTGTTGTGACCGAACTTCCTCTGCTTTTGCTTCCTGACGTCAGTGTTCTGGAACGTATCTGTGTGAATATTACTCAGTAGCTACCTCCCCAATGGGGACTAAACTTCAGAGGGCAAAACTCTGATTTAGTTCACTGCTGCAGCCCTGGCACCTAGCCTCGCAACCAAGTACTTGATTTATTATAGTTACTGTCATGAGGCAGCCCTCTGTAAACAGACCCAAGCCTATCACTGCTATGACCTCAGGACCCCGGGGAAGTTAGGCTTTCCTTGCAACGATTTCCAAAGCATTTAATTACTTTCTTGAGTGTCAAAGTTGAATTTCAACTTTTCAGTGTTATCCAGATTTACCAAGTTAAGTATGCACGTTTAATGAAAATTTTCTTAAAAACCTTGCATTTTAACAATATTGCCTATAACAATAGGCAATCTATCCAAGTCAGGTTTTCAAAGTAAGATTCTCACTAAGAAAAGAAAGGTCAGCACTCAGATTAACATTCTGACAATATGTCAACGTCTTTGATCAGCAAAGGGGATTAGCAGACACCTAAGAGAACATAGGTGTTTCAGGAAAGGATTTGCTGGTTGACCAGATGTAGATAATACAACAAAGGGAAAAGAAAATTTCACATTGTGTCCCATGGGCTCATGCTGACAGTCCTTAGCCTAAAATGTGAGAATGCAATATTTGTTAAATGTAACTTTCTAAAAGCCAAGGAGGCCACACTACACATTTGCACTTTATAATGGATTACAGTTTGCCCTTTTTGGGTTTGTTTTAAGACTCGGAGCTATGGAGTTCCTCATACTGACACCCAAGGCTTCTGTGAAGTGTGTGGATAGCCTGCATACAGCTTCATGCATTTTGTATTGTCCTACTACATGACCCTGGCTTTTTTTTTTTTTTCACTATTTTTTGTCCCGATCATTTTTATTGGCCATTAAACTGGTCTTTCCTCTCTTTTCCTTTCGGATTTTACATATTAAGAAAATTATGCTCACAAAACACACTGAATGTTTTGCAATGGGAATAACTGCAAATAAAAATGTAAGTAAACAAATGCCAGACCCCTTGAGCCAGCAAATTCTTTTATGAAATGTATGTTACCAATGAACCTCAAAGTTTTTTAAGAATCATGCAATGCCCTCCTCCCCCTTCAGCTGGAACACTAATGTTAGGCAGGCAGAAAAGCCGGAAAACAGCCAATGTGTTGTGAATCAAGAAGGGATTGGTGAGAGATCAATGTATGTGATTGAAAGCAGGAAACACCCGGGGAACAGTGTTAATTTCAGAGAGCAAAAAGGTGGTTCACAAAATATTTGCAGTATGATTCTATTTTCTAATTGAAAGTAGATGCATGTGTAACATTTCCACATTGAGGAAAAAAATTGATAGCATTGATACTTTTTGTAAAATTTTTTTCCTAGGGACACACATATCATTTTTACAATCAGAAAAAAAAATTTCCTAGAAAAAGAAAACCCAACTTTCTACAGAAGAGACAACCTGTTCCCTTGTATATATTCCAGAAAAGGCACCACTGGGCATCTGTTTTAAAGATTATGTTTTTGTTTTTTTTTTAAATTAGTACTTAAGAATAACTCTGAACGTACTGCTCTGTTGGGATTTGTCTGTAGGAAAAAGCTACACACCCACACATTCTAATCCATTCAGATTAGCTCTATTTGCATAGCTTCATTCCTCAGTTACTGTCACCTACGTTGCTTAATCTGAGCTTCCATATAAATAGAACTGGAGTGTGACTGTACTGCCTATCAGCAAGTGCTGACTGCAGGAACGCACGCACGTTATCCAGGAGCAGCTATTCCCTGCCACGACTGAGGTGAGTGCCTCATCAGTCTACATCAGAGAGTATTTGCTCTCTGCTGTGGAGGGGAGAAAACAGTACTGTTTATAGGCTCTCAAATAATTCCGATATATAAAAGATAAAAGGCTTGTTATTGAATAGAGTGGTTTGTTTTTCAGAATGGGATGTGAGAATAGCTCTGGATTACAAACCTCAGATTTTGTAATTCTAATAATGACGCTGACTTTCCAGTTTGATGACTTCTTATCTTGTTCAACCATGCAAGCGAGTGGTCCTTCAGGGCAGAGTGCTTCCACATGCGTTTGCTCAAGCTAGTCCACGGGAGTGATGAAGGAAAGAGAGGGTTATGATAATCACTGAAAGTAGAGAAAAGCAAAGCCAGACACAACGCTTCAGGGAGGGGCTATGGCGTCTTTACTGTGCTAACATGAATTCGAACTCTCCAAGAAAATAGGCTACAGACCGCAACAAACAAATTTATTTACGAGGCAATTTTTATGACTAGAAAAACGTTGTTTCTAGGACACACATACTCTTGGGGGAAAGAGCAAACAAAACCCATCCCTGTTTTTGAAGCAGCTCAGAAGGGCAACGTGCATTCTGTTCACACCGACTCAATTCCTGCCGGTACATGCTACTATTTAAACTATGTTCTGTCCAACTGAAAAGCTAACCTTATGTTTACCTAACCCTTTGTCCCATGCATAAGGGTTAAAAATTAACTATTCTGTAAAAGTTACAGCTCTGCTTTAAAGGAAATTGTTTATTCTAAGCTAGCAATGGTGACTGATTATAATTCAGTAGCATGGATTCAGGTTACCCTAAATGATGCATTCCTAAGCAAAAGCAGTTACATGAAGGTTTGCAGGCAAGGGACCAAGAAAGTCATAAGTCAATATATGCAGCAACTGCATTAGTCATAAGCAACATAGTCAGCAGATAGACATAGAAAAACAAGGAAATCTTTCTTTGTAGGTTTTGTATGTTATCTTACCGCTCCTTAGCTTTGTGGTAACACGAACAACACAGTCTGAGGGCATCAACTCAGATTCCATTATTAAAAGTAAGTGGAGCCCGAGACGGTCCAAGAAAATCCTGGCTCTTGATCTTACATCCCTCCATAATCACAATATTTGGCTCACCCAAGGAGAAAAGTCTGGAATACTTCACACAGATACAACTTCTTCAGAGAACTCTGCCTTATGCTGACATCTTCAGAAATTTATTATTACTATTTCAAAGAAGCTGGGCATTGGCTTTGAGTATAAAAAGAGCAGAATGTTTAAAACAAAATTCCAAGTTCTGACTCACATGGACCCCTCCCCACGGTTATTACCTAATGCAGGTAAATGGCTTTACATTTACTTCAGGGCGGTAACTTTTATAGAGTAGCTAATTTTTAATCCGTCTGAACAGAGAAAGGAGATAGGATGCTAATGGAGAAAGAGAATAGATAACATTTTGACTTTCATTGTGTGTGTGTGTGTGTGTGTGTGTGTGTGCGCGCGTGCGTAAGACAAGATATAGATTTCTGCTTTCCTTCTACATGTGGATATCCAGTTTTCCCAGTAAAAATGTTTAAGGCTACAGTTTTTCCAATATATGTTTTTGATGCCTCTGTCCAGAATCAGATGGTTCTATTTGCCTGAATAATAATGTAATCATATTTTTAATTTTTAAAACTTTTTTAAAAAGAGAAAAGACAACGTGTTAAGATTGAAACGATGTGAGAAAGATAACAAGAGATTTAAAACTCAAATACAAAAGAAGCAGATAAAATTAGAAGAGGAGTAAAAATTAAAATTTAAAATAATAAACAATAGTTTTAAATGAAAGGACAATAAAAAGGGGGACAGCGCTTTTCCAGGGCTGTGTGGGGAGGGCAGTGGGTTTGAATTTGCCCCCGCTAAGCAGGCTGGCGTTAGGTGAGGCGAGTGGAGGGCATCTCATCTGCATCCCGGCTGTGTTCACTCTAGACTCTAAAAGTCTAGAGGCTTTCTTCCTTTGCGTTTATGGGGCCTTTGCACCCCACGCTGATCTCTACATCCTATAGGCTGGGCAGGTTCCCATTCATTCCGGAGAGCCTCAGTCTGAAACCCACGAGCTGGCAAAGTTCACCCAGTTTACTTGAGCGTGAAGAGCAAACCGAGCGCGGACTGCTGTCTGAATGGGCGGGCAATCAGCCTGACTTGGTTTATCAGAAACCTGCCACTGGAGGCTTGGAGGCCTCAGTCTCCACCGACAACCTCAAGCTACAGGTCATCGTCCTCGCCACAAGGGGGCAGGACTTCTGATCGCCGTGCCTTCCACAGCCCAGGCTCCGGGTTACCGAAAGTTCTCAGTAGACCCGTCATCCCGTCTCCTTACAGGGTTTTCTCCTGGACAGACACGATGGCAGAGTGTTCCCACTGGTCACCTGCCTGTATTTTCTGATCTCCAGAGTTGCTCAGTCTCAAACAATAGACCCCTTTGAAGGTAGCTCCTGATCACAACGCTCTAGGATACGGGGAGTGAGGAGATGGCTCCTTAGTGCTAAGGCAGCCGTGAGAGGGGACTCACCTCAGACCAAACTCCTGCCCCTGAATTAACGCTTGTGAGATCTGTCAATTACGGGTTTCTCCCGTGGCCACTACCGCTCCTCTGTTCTCATGATGGCCACCCAAACCCCGACTGGCCACGTGATTGCTGCTGCCCTTTCTCCTGACCCCTCCCAGCCCCTCTACCCCTCCTCCACCCATGCTGGGAGCCAGGGCTGGAGTTTTGGAGGGCTTCCTACTTCTCGGCGTTATCTTATTCTTTGTCCATGCGTATTAGCTAAACCCTCCGCCACTTGAGTCCCCCCGCCACTTGAGTCCCAGTGATTTTCCACTCTGTCTCCTTGGAATATAGTTTCTTCTTTGTTACCCTGATCTTCTAACTTGTGAGTGAGCAGAGAAAATCAGTAATCTTACTCTTTCTTTATTATTGAGAAACTATGCTTATTCTGATCACCATCATTACTCTTTTTTTTCTTTTCTTTCTTTTTTGTTTGTTTGTTTGTTTGTTTGTTTTTCAAGACAGGGTTTCTCTGTGTAGCTTTGCTACGGAACTCACTTGGTAGCCCAGGCTGGCCTCGAACTCACCTGGCTCTGACTCCCAAGTGCTGGGATTAAAGGCGTGCGCCACCACCGCCCGGCTTTCATTACTCTTTCAAATATTCAGCTGGTGCCAAATCTGACAGGCAGAAACTCCAAGGAGGCTCCCATAGGGTTTGAGACAACCTGGCCCAATATCTGGAGTCATGGTTCCTTTAAGTGGAGAAAATGTTGGAAAATATGATGCATGCACACACTGCTGGGCATTCATTTAATACTGACTCAAATTTAACATTACACGGGTTTTGTCTTGGCTTCTGAGTTACATATTTCTATTTCTTTCCCCTACAGTGAAAACCATGCAACATCTGTATGGTTACTTTTTTTTTTTTTTTAATAACTATGTACTACAACTAAACTGTCCTAAGGTTTCAATACAAACATTGCCACAAACAATAAGTCTACTCAGCTTGAGATTTTTCTGTGCTTTTTTTTTCTTCTTATTCTATGGCTAGATTCTAGCACATAGTGCACAGTCAGAATACTATGCTCAAATTCAGTTATTTACTTTTTCTGTATGGCTATCAAGTTCATGTTGAGTTAGCTGAGGAGGTTGTATCTGGTGATTTCAGGTACATATAGCTTAATTATTATATTATATTTTAATTATATTATACATTATATAATTATTATATATTATATATATTATATAATATATAATTATTTTAATTATATTATATATTATATTATATTTTAATCCCACAGAAACCTGAAAAATGGGACCTACAATGAGATACTCAACCTCCAAAATGTCCTCGGCAAAGCTGAGCAGCGCAGCTGGAAAAGCCTTGGTAAAACCTTGCAAGCCAAGAAGTAAGAGCGTCGGCTTTCCTGTTTTACACACTGTTTGAAATCTATTATCAAATACTTATTATTTCAATGTTCAGACATGCTACCTTACCAAAAGTGCCTAAGAATATAAGAACTGAAAGGGAAACACAGAGGTGTCTCCGAGGACACAGAAACCTTGTTTTTGAAGAGTTTATATTGTCACTGTTGTCACTGGGTACAGCACGGGATAGGCTGGCTTAGATAATCTAGAGTGTAACTTAGTAAAATATGGTCTTTTGCATCAATCCCTTCACACTTCTCACAGCTCCTGCCATCAAATCCCCAAAACCTTTCCCCTTAATTAACTGACAAATCTCTAAACTGACCCACTTTCAGTCCACATATTTGTCAAGACCTTTGGTGTATTGATTTACTGATTATTGATAAAAGATAGAATCAAAAATGAAGATGCCCAGGCCCCCAAATAAAGAAGAATGGGCCAAATATAATTATCTAATTACAAACTCAAAAGTTTGGAATACAATGAAAGAGACTACCAAGGAGAGTAACAGAGCTCTGGTGGGCTGGAAGGAAGCTAGAACGTGAATGACCTAAAGAGAAAGCAATGTCCCCTCTGCCCTCCCGGAGGCTCTGGACCACCCACCCACGCACTTCTTGGTAGGATTTAAAAAACCAATCTGACAATGGTTTCTGAATGTCCAGGAAATCACAGTTTAATTGATCCTTTCATTCGTATTTATGTCAGAATTCTCTGTGCAGAAGCAGTGATTGAGTGGAAGTGACTTGGTATGCTCAAATGTCCCCATATTAAAGAACGCACTGTCTTAGTACTGAGAAAATGAGGCCCTTTATAGATACTGCATTATGGAGTAGATATGCCAGAATTTCTGACATTGGTGCCAGAGCTCACTTTGAATACTGAGATCTTAGAAGTCACATGTTACGTGACCCTGAAAGGCATTTATGAAATCCAAGACACAAATGAAATGTTCTACATGAGACTTACATTTCTCTTTGGCTAAGTAAAATCAGGATTACTGATTTTTTTTTCAGTTTGGTTGATTGAATTTACATTTGGCTAGTCTCTTAGGTTGAGGAGCAGATTTCACCCCCACCTCCCACCCTGGCCAAATAAGACTCTATGTAGCTCAGACTTATCTGGGAATTCATGACCCTCCTCCTCCTTTAACCTCTTGAGTGCTGGGGCTAGAGGCATGACCACATCTGGCCTGTGGTCATTTTCGTCAGTGGAGGTAGAGCCTAATAAATAGCTTTGATATCAAACATGCTATATTAATTACTTTTGCATCTCTATGGCCAAAACCTTACAAAAGTGACTTAAAGGTAGACAATTCAGTTTGCTTTATGGATTAGAATGCACAGTCCATCATGACATGGATGGAGGCTGGATCAGTTTGATCTACAGCAGCCATAGCTTGCAGCAGCTTCTCCTATGGCACCAAGCAGGAAGAGGGGACTGGAGGACCAGGCTATAGTCTTCTGAGGCTGGCCCCTGTGGTCTATGTATATCAGCAAGGTCCTATACCCCAAGGGTTCCACAACCTCCCAAAGGGTGTCACCAGGTTAGGACCAAGTGTTCAAGCACAAGAGTTTGTAGGGACATTTAACACACCCCTTAGCACAACTCATGGGCCATGTGACCTTGGGCAGTGTTGTGATTCCTAACATCCTCATATCATTGCAAAACTAAGATGATAATACTTTGCAAGATTGTTGTGAGTGGTTAAGTTAAAAGGCATATAAAATTAGTTAGCAGAGTGTTTGGCCTAGGGCTGATACTTGGTTAATGGCAGTTATTTTAGTATCAATACCCTTTATAGTTTTCAGACACCCTCCAGAAAGGTTTATTAAAAGTTTATTCAGGGTTAAGCAGAAAAACAGCTCAAATCTCCTATGGATGTTCACATTCCCTTCAGCTAGGCAACAGCTGATGCATAATGAATGCAGAGCCATGATCCCTCAGATGGCATTCTGAAAACAACAATAAAAAAATTTCTAAAGACCTAAGTGTTTTTACAACTTATTTGGCAACAAAATACAACCCAGCCTATTGTCTGTTAAATCCCAAGGTCTGTGATGGTTAATTTCAAATGTCAATTTGATTGAAATTACTGAAGCATATCTTTGGGTATGCCTATGACAGCATTTTCCAGAAAGGATTAATTTCGACCCACCCTGAAAATGGGCAGCTGCAATATCCCATGGCCTGGATCCAGAACCAATTAAAAAGGATACAGACGAAGACAGCTAAACACCACCACTCACAGTCTGCTGAAATGTGAGCAGGCAGCCTCCCACTGCCATGCCTTTCCCTCCAAAAAGGACCTGAAACATGAGCAAGACTAATGCTTTTCCCCTTTAAGTTGCTTCTTGCCAAACATTTGGTCACAATAATGAGAAAAGTAACTAATATAAGACTTCATTTCCTTTTGTATAAACATATCCTATGCCTTACTATATGCAAATAGTAGTGATACTCCAGTCTCTGTTGGAGACGCTGTGTACATTTACAGGATATGACCTGTGTAAATCTACACTTTTTTCTGTTGTTAGGATCCCAACAGAAGACCAAAGAAATTTGCCATGTCTACTACATGAGACTTCGTTCTGGCCTCACCATAAGAAAGGAGGCCTGTTACTTTGAGAAAGAACCCATCCAAGGTTATTCACTAAAATCAGGTATGCTCATCCCTGGGCAGACTGGTGAACATCCAGTAGCTTTTACTTTCCACATCTGTGGATACAATTGTTTTCCTCATCCAAGTTCTCCTTGAGGAAAAGAGTACGGATGATGCTGTGTTGGCCATTTTGGAGAGGGTTTTTAGTTACATGGGAGAAATGGATACAATGGTGAGTGAAAACAGATGATACAAGATTTTAAATCAGTACATAATCATTTGGGGTGACATTTTTTACTGTGAAAGAGGTGAACTGAATGGTTCACAGGGGCTGCTTTTGAGTGTTGCAAGTGTGGTGAGTAGTTTTCTTCTCTGTGCTCTGGTGGAGTGTGAATGAAAAAAAAAATGGTTTTTAAAATGAAGATTTCCCCATTAAAGAGGTACCGATCCCATTAAACCATTGGGTGATTACAGCCCTGGCATCACTTACCATTGTGGCCATATTGCCCATCAAAAAGATGACATCTTTGCAGAATGAAGATAGAGGGTTCACCTGACTCCTACTGCTGTCTTGCAGGTAGAAAGCGTGAAGGGAACTTCCCTGCTTACCCAAGGGATGCCATGAAGCGCTCCATGTTGAATACACCCAATTTCCAAGAATGTGCCGCCGATTTACCTGTCAGAGAGAGTATCCGAGGTGTGACTACTCACAGGGGCCTTGCTGGGGGCTGGGGGGCCGGTGGTGAGGTGTAAGATATGACACGGGGCCTTGGCAAGTGCTACTCGACAGAGCAGACTCAAGATCTTCTTGGGTGGTGATAGATCTTCGCTGGCAGCGGTGGCCCATGCCTTTGATCCCAGCACTCGGAAGGCAGGGGCAGGCAGATCTCTGTAAGTTACAGAGTTCCAAGGCAGGCTCCAAAGCTACACAGAGAAACCCTGTCTCGAGAAAAAACAAAAACAAAACAAAACAAAAAAAAACAAACATGTATCAGAAACTTGTTTCCTGCCCATGTACTGGCTCAGTGGCATCCAAACTGGGTGCGGTGTAACTGTGCCTTTGTATTCTCTGGTTAGCATTTCATGGATATTTTGGAATATTTGCTGTAGGTTGGAATCATGTCTACATTAGTCCTGAAAAATAAATTATCCTTTGAAAAAAAAAAACTGCATTAATCCCCAAATTTCAAATTGTTCACCATGAAAGAGAATAAAAAACTATTATCTTTTAAAATACAAGTTTAACATGGTACGGCTTGAAGAATAGTTTAAGTTTTTACCATTTGTGCAAAGTCCCACGTAAAACCGTGATCATCGGGAACTGAAGAGAGCCCAGGGAATGTAGTTCAGGTGGGACACTGCCTCGTGTGCAAGGCTCTGCATCTCATCTCCATCAACGTGGGGAAAAATAGAGTCCTGGGCAGAGTGGCATGTGCCTTGAGTCCCAGCATTTGGGAAGCAGATGAGTTTCTGTGGGTTCAGGTCTGTCTGGGCTACACAGTGAGTCTCAGGACAGCCAGAACTGTAGAGTGAGACAGTATTTCAAAAACAAACAAACAAATCCCCAAATTAATTAATTAACAAGTGACAGCAACCCCACCACTAAGGAAACACAATTAAAAATCACATGTTGTTATTTTAACATATATTACTTTTTATAGAATATATATAATATAGGATATTATATAAAACAATTTAGTATATATCATATATAGTATGTATTTAGTATATATTTAATACAAATAATATTAATCTAATCAATATTCATTTCTCATAAACTGTTTTTAAATTACTTTGCTTTAGATGTTCACATACAAATTCTTATTTTATATATTATTTTTATTTGCAAAATTCAGTAACCTGTAGCAGATACAGTAAATTTTAATATAGGCTCCTCAAATGGATCCAAGTCTGCTTCAGTTTAAACCATATATGCTTTAAAAATGTTATCATGTGCTCTGTATGCATCTCAGGCAAAGGCACAAACTAGCTTACATCTGCATCCCCCTAGGGCAATGGTTCTCAACCTTCCTAGTGCTGAGACCCTTTCATACAGTTCCTCATGTTGTGGTGATTCCCCAACCATAAAATTACTTTTGTTGCTACTTCACAACTGTAATTTTGCCTCTGTTATGAATTGTAATGTAAATATCTGATACTCAGGATATCTGGTATTCTACCCCTGCGAAAGAACTGTTCAATACCCAAAAGGGTTGAGAACCACTGCCCTAGAGTGTCGAAAAATCCCTAAGTAATCATGCTTTATAAAAGGGCATATGTTAACCTATGCCTTCCTAAACATGGCCATTCTTTCCCACAGTTCCCTAGACTGTAGGAAGGCAGGAATGGAGCTGTCTGTCCTCTTCTTCACCCCCAGCCCCACCAGGCAGGAAGCTACCACCTTTAATCCCGCCCTGGTGCCAACTATGGCTTTTGCCTATGTTACAATGACAAAGTGTAGCTCACGTTAAAAAACAAAATTCTCGAGAGAAATTACTTCAAAAAATAGCCAAGAAAATTGTTCAGAGGATTGTTTGTTTGTTTTTTATTCTTACTGACAGGAATTTCACTTTTTACAGAATCTTGTGCTTCCCTGAGCACATATGATGACCAATCTGTTTGTTTCAAAGTATTGGAGAATGGACGCTATGTGATCAATGTTGAAGATTCTGGAAAAGACCAAGAAAAAGGTAGACAACTTTAGACTATTGCCTCATGTCTATACTTAGTAATGATGTCTGGCAAGGTTAAAAAAAATCTACCAAATTATCCACAATGGATTAACTGAGATATTCAACAGTAATGGGTTTCATCATCTCTGCTAATTCCAGTCTTCCTGTGTTAAGAAGGGTTCAGTGTCGTCTGGTTCTTCAGGGAAGAATACAGATGTTGAGAAATAACTATTGGGAAGTACAGAAGGAGAGAACACATGTGTTTATTAATGCTGAATACTCACTAGATCTTTCCAACCTTTTCAATGTCATCTTAGCGTAAATGACTATTTGTGAAAGACTATTTCTCTGCCATCAACAGTGTAACACCCATGTTGGAGAATTCATCACAGCATAATATATTTTGAGATTTTTGTGAGAACTACTAAAGTTTTGCTTTAATTGGTATATGACAAGGTTAAGGGCAAGGTTTTCTGGCCCTGTGTATGATGGAACTGAAACCTTCAGATACAAATTGTCTCTCACCAAGTGATACTGTGTTGTCTTTCAGACAAGATGCTGCTACGTTACTATGAGTCTCCTCATCCCTCAAATGAGTCAGGTAATGTGCAGGCAGGGTGGGGGTGGGGGTGGGGGTGGGGGTTTGCTTGAATTCTCATCCAGAACAAAGATGAGTCTAAAATAGTCCACAATAAAGAAAGAGCAGTTTAAAAGATTATCTTCAACCCCACACTCCTTGTAAGATGCATTCTTCTTCAAAGCATTTATTCCACCTCATCTATTTCTGGATTAATAGGATAAAGGCTTAGCTACATATAATACTTATAATAATAAGCTACTTATAATAATATAGACCATCTTCAGCCACGGCTGAAAAGACCCTGCCCAAAGGTTGTCGAGAGGCAGTTCCTTCTATATCGTCATTCTGTCCATGTCTAACACCTCATCACTATGCCCAATTAGCAAGCGAGAGGAAGGTGGGTGAATAAATTCTATTTCCCTTTCAGGACACAAATAGAAGTTACACATCACATGACTGCTCATCTTCAGTTGGCCAGAACTTAGCCCGAAAGCAACATTGAGTCGTGAGAACACAGGCAGGGAAATTTTCTATTATCATCTATTAAAATACAACTCAGTGGCTTCACATGCACACAGGGAAGCTGATGCCCAAAGTAGTGTGTATTGGAATCAATTCAACTAGAAAAGATCAGAACAACAACAGAAATTAAAAACCTAACCTCCTCCTCTGAGGAATTTAGAAAGACTCTTGGACCAGACTTGGTGGCACACACCTTTAATCCCAGTACTCAGGAGGTAGAGGCCGGCCAATCTCTAAATTCAAGGCCAGCCTGATCTGCAGAACAAGTTCCAGGACAGCCAAGGCTGTTAAACAAAGAAAACCCTGTCTCAAAAAAAAAAAAGAAGAAGAAGAAGGAGGAGGAACAAGAGAAAAGAAGGAAGGAAGGAAGGAAGGAGGGAGGGAGGAAAGAAGGAAGAAAGGAAGGAAAAGATAGGAAGAAAGACCTTTTACTTACTTGATAATGACTCCTCAGTTTTATTTGGGTACAAATACTTCTAAATGAATTAATGATCTATTTTCCTTCACATCTTGGATGCTTTGGGTTAAGTTAAATTAAGATGAGTTACAAGGCTTAGTTTTTTTCACTTATAATTTCTTCTGTCCTTTTTATTTTAATTGACAGGTAAAATTGTATTAATCATTTATAATAGGAGACTTTTAAAAAATATTCTATTTTTAATGTACGTGTGTGAATGTTTTGCCTGCATATGTGTGCAGTGCTTGAGGAAGCCAGAAGAGAGCAATGGATCCCCTGTAAGTGAGCCACTCACTGGGTTCTGGGAACTGAATCCAGGTCCTCTGCAAGTGCATCAGGTGCTCTTAACCACAGAAGCATCTATCTGGCCCCCACAACAGCACACGATAGATACCTCAAAAGCTTCTGGTGTGGTGGTATCTGTTGTCCATCTATCTTGTAGAATGGTAGAATGCAGCCAAGTGGCAAATGCCTTACCTCACACGCTATCATTTTCATTGTTAGGTGATGGTGTGGATGGTAAGTTGCTGATGGTGAACATGAGTCCTATCAAAGACACGGACATCAGGCTGAAGGCCAACGACGAGGACCACTCTGTGGAGGTAACAGAAATGTGACTATGTAAGAGCCACAAACCGATTCTACCAGTTGATGTGCATTTAGATGTTAGGGAAATTCTGGAGACAGAGTTGGGCGCATACTATTGTAAATAAAACATAGTCAGTCGCTTTGAATGACTTGCTCGGGAGTAGGAGGAGAAGGGCAGCGGGATGTGTGGTCTTGTTACCACAAGTCTGGTCTCCACAACAGCACAGAATCCCCAGGGAACTTGCTAGAAAGCAGGATTCCAGGCTCCCCCACAACTGAATCAGAACTAATGTCTGATCAGTCCCCCGAGAGCGTCATCCCTTCACTACAGTTTGAGAGGCACTTCCACACAGAATGATCTCACATCCTTCCATTTGGCTGTGTTCTTCCAGAAAAAAAATTCTTTTCTAAAATAATTTCTGGCTCCAAGCCTGCCAAGGGGAGGTCAGCAAGCATGTCCATACATCACCAGTTACTAGCAGCATAAAATTCTACATCTGATCCATTCTTACTTAATAAATGGCAGGTATACTCTGGTCATGACCAAAAAGGATGACCATGTCAAAGAACAAACAAGTCAGAGCAAGAAGTTAGGAGAAAAACAGGACAGCATTATAAAGAAGACAATTTCTATAAATATACAAAATTTAAAGTGATCCAGTCATGTAGGACATCAACAGAAACAGTGGACAGTGGTCAGCATTCTGCTCAAGACAATATTCTCAAGTGTATATAATGCACTATCTAGCATGTATATAATAAAAAAAATAAAATAAAAGCAGAGTGCCATGGCGCATCAAGTCCTTGCTTAATGCTCCAGCAGTCCTGTCTCATTTAATCCTCAGAGGAAGTCAGTCATTGTTGTGCAACAAACCATCTCAAAACCCGATGGATTAAAATCATAATCACTCTTAAGTCCTTAGTGATTGAGAGCTTATACTGAAGACCTGAGTTGGGTCCCCAGGGTTTATTGCCAGGCGACTCACAACCACCTGTAACTCCAGCTCCAAGATGGTCAGATGCCTCTGGTCTCCACGGGCATCTACATTCATGGGCACATACCCACACAGAGACATATTTAAAATAAAATAAATCCTTAAAGATAATGTAAATAAGTGGTCTGTATTTAATAATTTAATTACAGATTTAATCTAACAATCTAATTAAAAGTATATAAAACTACATCTACATTTAAATTGGAAATGAACCAATCTGTAGGGAATGCTGGCTAGACTGAAAGTTTGCTAGACAGAGCACCATGTTCTTTGTATTAGAGACAATAAATAGCAAAAGAGGGCCCAAATCCAGAAGGGCCACGTATAGATCTGCTCAGTCTCCACCAAGCAGCTTATCTCAATGGGCCAACTCCCTGTGAATCACTTCCACTCCTACCCATACCCTGTGCCCTCTGCTGTTTCCTCCACCCATCACTCCTCCCCGCTCAACTCCGTCAACAGACTTGCTAGAGAGACCAAGTTATAAACGCTGATTCTCCTAGGAGTTCCAACCCAGGAAGGCGATGTCAGCCCTGGACTTCCCATTCACATATTGGCTTTTTCTCTTCTTTCCTCAGCTCCAAAAGTGTCAAGTTCCACTGCCAGACCAGGTCTATTTCGTCCTTCACAGAAAGTCCTCCGACTATGTTTTATTTGAATGTAAGAAAAAGCCTGGGACGTACATAGGAGTTAAAGATAACCAGCTTGCTCTAATAGAAGAAGAGGATGAAGATAACAAAAATATCATGTTTAAGCTTTCTAAAGTTTAATGGAATAAGAAGCTTGTGGGCTCTGGGTTGAACGACTTAAATGTTACCACTAAAGAAAGGGGGGAGAGAAAGGAAGAGACATCTAAGGGAATGGCTTAAGATGCTGTGGAATGTTATCTTATTATATGTAAAAAGTCTTTTCTTTTCCTCTATCACTACACATTCAATAAAATCATGACTATATGGCATTGGGCATTTGTAAAGAGACTGAGAGAGATTCCACCTTGGTTTTTACTTTCCTCTGCTTTGAGTCCTGAACAAACTCACACTTGCAGATCTCTCCAGATGAGCAAGCACCATAGCTCGTGCTATGCTTTTGACAAGGGTCCAATTTACAAGCCTTAAAAAAAAAAAAATACTCGATCTTCCCTGGTCCTAATCAAAGGTTGACTGACCCACCAGAGCAGCTTGTGCAGGGCCAGCTGCTACATGACTGACAGCTTCTCAATCAGAATAAAGCAGATGTATTGGAGATGCCCCAGGCAACCCTCAGACAAGCTCTTTCTGTTAAGAAACTAGTGCTCCAAATGCCCACGTACCTAGACAGGTAGGGTAAATGTGTGAAAAGGCAGGATAACTGAAAAAAAAAATTAAAGAGAAAGAAAGCCAGTATTTGTGAAGTGGAATAATGTTACCAATGCTTGTATCCTTTGGTGGAGGAGTCGGAGGGGGATGGAGATAAGGCTTCTCTGTGTAGCCCTGGCTGTCCTGGAACTCGCTTTGTAGACCAGGCTGGCCTCGAACTCATAGAGATCCATCTGCCTCTGCCTCCCAAATGCTGGGATTAAAGGCATGTGCCACCATGCCCAGCTACTTGTTTCCTTTGTTAAATTCTGATTTTTTTTTTAAGATATCAGTTTAAATTTAAGCAAGCCAAGCTTACATTAGGAAACAGAAGACATTTTTAGTTCACGACTGTGATTGAAATCATCGGCTATATTTAACAAACTTAAACTCCTCTGTAAGCACTGACCAGGACACCTGTTAGGGTATCCAAGTAGAATGGGATCACACAGTGAATTCAGAAGTCCTCTTACTTAAAAGACACTGAATTGACTTCATATTTTCGAGAGCTGGCCATAGCCTATGTTTATGGCACACCATTTCCTCCTCGCCAATTTCCAAAGAGCTATCACTTTCATCTCTGGCTTGCTTCCTTACACACAAATCCTTTGTTCTTTGGGTTCACAGTGGCACTGTTCACTGTGGACTATATTAGTTTAACTTCCTCCCTTTCTTTGGTTCTTTTGACCAACATATCCTTAACAGATCTCCGACTCCCTAAACTTCATTTTTATTTTCTCTGCCATCTATATGCCAACACTTTTATTCTGCTTTGTTTATTTTACATTGTAGAATTTTATATATACCTATTGGTTACAAGGTTGTTCACTGAACTTTTTTTGGTGTGTTTTACTGTTACTGAAGTAGTGAACTTTATATTCAACCATATAGTAATATTTCAAGCTGCTAAAGGAATAGCTTTGCTTATTTAGACAACAGCAATTTCTACTACTTTTTTATTGGCTTAAAATTTACAGTAAATGCAAAAAAAATAACAAAAAACTGATGGAATACAATATGACCATTTCTAAAAGTGTAAGCATTTAATTTTCAATTGATGAAAGCTATTGTATATAATAGCTGGTATGATGTATCATAAAAGAGGCTAGGAATTGCTGTATAAGATCATATAATTGTAGCATGATATAACCGTTTAATTAATTTTTCACTGTTTTATAGATACAAAAGTAAAAACAGAATCTATGCCATCCCCCTGGAAACCACAATGTTGACTATGTGAATTTGTACAATATACTTAAAATAATAATTAAGTTGCCAATTATGTTGATAACATTGTTTATAACCTTGAATAAACTATTTGTCAAAATCACGTGTGACCATGACTTTACCACAGAATGCTCCAATGTTCTGAGTCTTGAATGAAAATGAACATACTCCAGTCCATCACTATTGACAAGGGAACTGAGAAGGCTATTTCACAACTCAGTGTATTTAAAACTAAAACTTCTCACAGAAGGGATTGTGGGAGTCCACAAGTGACTCAGTGTCCCAGTTTGAATCTTGAGTCTATTCTGAGTCAACAGAGTTCAGGCTTGCTTGTTCCAGGGCTGTGAGAAAGTCCTGATTAGCCCATAGAGTCTCCTTAAAGGGCTGTGAGAAAGTCCTGATTTCCCATGGGAAAGAACATACTATCTAGCTAGACACACGCTCCAGCCAAAGGTACATTGTGATAGAAAATGAAACTGCCTGCTCCTTGACCCAAGAACAGGATAGAAAATGCTTGCGCTGTGCATTATTCTACTTCTGCCCTTCAAGTGTGTATATAAGCTGGCTGTGAAATAAACTCTGACACTGCCTGGAACTGACTGGCAGTCTGCAATTCACACACCTCCACCCAGCTACCTAGTCCGCTCGTCGGCTAGCTCCGACAAGGGATTGCGGCTACTTTGCCTTCATCCTCCTGGTGCTCACTGTGGTAGACCTCCTCCCCCCCCCCAAATGACTTTTGACTTTTGCTCCAACCCAAACACACACACACACACACACACACACACACACACACACACACACACACACACACACACGTTCCTGCATTAAAAATTAACCGAAAATTTCCGACTCTTTACTTAGGTGACTTTCACTCAGTTTTGTTTTCTTTTAAAAGGTATTTTCAGAGCTGAGGAGACTTTTAAGTAAGCATGAGTGAGAAACAGAGTCCAGATCTCAAGTACCCACATAAAAACCGAGAGTGATTGTAATCCCCAGTGCCAGGAGAGGGGTAGAGACAGGCTCACTCTGGAGTGCTGCTGGCCAGCCCGCCTAGCCAAACCGATAGGCTTCAGTTTTGAGACTGTCTCACAATACAGAGGAGCAACAGAAGAAGAAATGTGATGTTGACCTCTGGCCTCTGCACACGTGTACAAGCACATATCTCACACACACACACACATATTTTCCACATTCTTACAATCAGTGCTATTTGATTAAAATACTCAAACGTGTACTGACATTTTGTCTCACTTGTATTGCTTTGATACAAGTTATTGGAAGTAATCTGTCCACTCAATTATATCAGAAATGATAATTCTATCTGATAGCTATCTCAAAACTTACAGTTATATAACTTTATTTATATTCTTTAAATTTCTGTTGTATTGGAGAGGTTGCTTTTTAATTTTAATTTTTTTCTTTCCCTTCCCCCAACTCCTCTCAGATTCTCCTCCACATCCCTCCACCTCACTTCCTGTTTTTCTTGCTCTCTTTCCCTAAAGAAGAACAAAATGGAGCCAACAAAACAACAAACAATGAAAATCAGAACAGACAAACTGAAAAATGAAGATAGGACAAAACCCACCCAAACGAAACCAAAAGCACACACAAAAGTGTGGCGTCTATTTTATGTTGCCCCTCTACTCCTGGGCATGGGGCCTGTCCTGGAGAGCGACTGATACATCCAGTGACACTCCCCTGGGGAAAAAACTGATTTTCCCTTTCCCAGCAGGTATCAGTTACAAATAGCTTCTTGGTTAGAGGTGGGACGTTATGTCCACTTCCTCTCTCAGGACTGGGATTTTTGTCTGGGTTGAACCTGTGCGGTTCTTGTGCATGCTGTCACAGTCTCTGTGGGCTCATGTGTCTATCGGCACTGCTGTGTCTGGCTGTCACAGTCTCTGTGGGCTCATATGTCTATCGGCACTGTTGTGTCTGGAAGACAGTTTCCTTGGAGTCAGGCACCACCTCTGGCATTTACAATCTTTCTGTCTCCTCTTCTGCATAGATCCCTGGCCCTTGAAGGGAACAGTTTGATAAAGACATCCTGTTTAGAGCTAAGTGCTCCAAAGTCTCCCAATCTCTACACGTTATCTAATTGCGGATCTCTTTGTTAATTTCCATCTACTGTAAGAAGAAACTTCTCTGATGAGGGTTAAGTGACGTTCTGCTCTATGGATATAGCAATGCAGTCATTAAGATTCATTTTTATGCTATGTTCCTTTAGCAGAAAAATAGTAGTAGCCTGGGCCTATGACATCTCTAGTCCTAGGTTCTTGACCACTTT